CCCATCAACACCCAAACTGGGCCAAAGAATCACACGCTGGGAGGGAAGTGGAGCAGATCACCTCATCACACAGAGTTTGCCCTCTCCCTAAGTGCTCTAAAATCACTCTTGTGGAGGTAGGAGGAAGGAACCCATAGTTAAGGCTGCTATGAGACTGACATTTACTGTGGAGATTACATCTCTGAGTTAAGTATAAAAGCACTGTGTATCAGTGCCAGACTCAGGGCTCATATTCTTAGAGAAAAGACTGAGTTTTCAAAGCAGTTAGGAGTAAAACTGTTCAATGGTTTAGGAGTCTGCAGCAGTTAAAATGACCCTTTTTGCAAACAGACTTGAAGGCTCCCCTTTCCTTTGCCTGCCTCTGGCTAATGTCTGCGCTGTAACACATAGCTTCAGACCTAGGCAACTCTAGACTAAACCACACAACGAGGTTAGGCCTTTTCACAGAGAAAGTAGGGCAATTCCTTGCATTCCTGTTGTGATTTGTGCCAAGGGAAGCCGAGGGAGGACGCACACACTGTGAAGCAACAGGTTTACAGCACAGGCAGTGACAGGTTCAGAGTGCCATTCCTTCTGCTGCCTCCCAAGCTCTTTGGCAAGGCTCTTAATCTGCCTCTCCTTTCTCTCCTGAGACTCCTACAGATCCATTAAGGGTCAGCAGAGCTGACAACTTGGTAGCCTTGAGTAGGCTAGAGCTTGATTGTTGCAGGAAGTTGATCCCCAACCCATCTCTTACCAAGCTTCCCCCTCTTTGAATTGATTCTTGGAACATGGTGAGGGGCAAATGGTTGATGGAATGGGCAGAGCTCAGTACAGCTAAGCCAACTTTTTTATTTTTTACTGGAAAATTGCAATTTGCTGAAAAAAAGACTAGAAGTGACTGCTTCCTGCTGGAAACTTCAAGTTTTTCAAATGAAAAGGGCTTTTTCCTTTGTTTCTTATACTAAAAGATTTCAGGTTTGGCCTGATCGGTAATGATAAAAAATGTGCCATCTTAAAAAAGAAAATTGCAAAGTCAGAATAAAGTATGTGTCTGAGTCTGGATAACTAAATGTTTGGACTATAGGAGAAGAGAATCCGGGTGGAACTGGGCTGGGACTGTAGCTGGCTAACATTCTCAGCCCAAAACAGAAAACTGAACGAAAAGTAGCATTTTGATTGAATTTCAATGTTGTGCAAAAAGTAACTCAATTCCTCAAAAACTTTCTTATTCAAAACAAAAACATATTTGGTACTTTAAAATTTTTGTAAAAGGTACTGAAATGTTTTGTGTCCTTGTGTTGGGTAAAATTCCTCTCTTGGAAAATGGTGGAAGCGACAGGAAGGAGGAATAGAATTTTCCCCACCAAAATAAAAAACCCCCAAACAAACAAAACCAAATGTAATGAATTTCAAATGAACACATTTCTTTTTTTTTTTTTTTTTTAATTATACCTGTTTTTTGCTGACTGGCTTTACTTGTGGTGATGTAGGATGGAAATGTGGGAGTTCACTGATACATGGAGAGGCCTGATACAACTATCCTAGAGATTTTTTAGACTTCAATGCATTACAGTGATGAGAAATAAATCTGACCAGCCTAAACTACTAGTTAAAAAGCTTTTAGTGCAGGTTTTTGTTGAAAAGATATTAATACATGTGTAATGAGTAGACTGAATGTATCTTCAGCCCTTGAACCTGCAAAAGGATGCTATTTCAATAAATCAGGAACCAGATATTGTCAATCCAACATACTGATTCCTTAATTTGTCATCCCACAGGCTAACATTTTGCAGTCCTCTCCAATTTTAGTTCCAAAACATGCTGTCCTCTTATAATTGTGATTACATGCAGCTTGTCACCATCAGTTCATTCCCTTTCTGTGTGAATTACTACTAGAATTCTCTCTTTTAACAGCAAGAACATTTTCATTTTGGAAAACCAGCTCAGCAGTGTGCTCCATTTTTTGTGGCTCAGCCACTAATGCTGTACAATGCTTGTAAAAGTGAGAGAAAATTAGCTCCTTGACTTTCAGCTAATCGCAATGCAGCTCCACACTGTTTGCAGCAGTTACAATTAAAACGATACAACATTCTACTCAGCAATGACACGCTACGGTCAAACAAGTCTTCCTTCTAGTTATGATTGGTATTCTCCAGATGTTTGAGTTCGTATTCAGGCCTGGCAAGTTTGCAGCTGCAATTCGAACTGAAAATCTGAACAGCTCCAGTGTTTATTCTCAGAAAGAACACTTGAGACTGTTTGTGAGCAGTTAGATGCTTGCTTTTACGGCTGCCACTTCAGAGTAAGGGGCCAATCATGTCCCACTGAAACCAATGGCAGGACTCCCACTGATTTCAGTAGGAGCAAAAACTGGCCCCAAGGTGAATCAACCTCACCCTGTTTATCAGCCAGCATAAGAGAAACACGTTCAGTTCATAAACAGCAACAGTGTTTGAAATCTTACTTACTAGGAAGTCTTCTTCACAGTACACTTTACCATTGACGTTGTAGAAGGCTTTTCCTCGAAGTCTTCTCCCTGTTAAAAAAAAAGTTTCCCGTTAGTACCTCACACTCCATTTCCAAACCGAGAGCCATCCAATAGGCAAAGTACAAGTACAGAAACATTGGCATTTTATGGCTGGGTGCATCAGAGAGTTTGAGAAGACATAATGAGCTTTTGAGAATGACAGTCTAACATGGGGACCTCATCTCTACCCCATCTTTCTTTTCTAATCGTTATTAGCAGTCAATGTTTATCTGATGATAATACCCAAAGCCTTCAATCAGGGTTGGAGTCCTGCTGGGCTAGGCACTGTGCACATGGAAAAACCATGTTACTTGAATGGTTATTTATAGCATATTTTTACACAACTCCTCACACCTCTGCCTTTGCTAACATCCCAGGTTCCTGCTTGCTCCTGTTCTCTCTGCAATGCTAGTGCAGATATCTACTTGTGGTCAGTGGTTCTGGAGGCTGAGATTATTCCAGTACAAAGTTATAGCATTAGAAATGAGAAGCACACACTTTATATTTTTCTTCTTCCAATTTTTTACGTGTAAATTAAGTACATTTGATTTGGAAGCCACTGCAAAGCAGTCACACCTGATCCAACTCCAGTGTGGTTAGAAGTTACACCAAGAATGTATTTGGTCTGAAAGGAAAATAAACATAATAATCATTTTTCAAAGTATATCTGTATTTAAAAAAAAAAAAAGAATGACATACCAACATGCACCAGCAACCTACAGCCATAAAATAGATGAATGCATGTGTGATGGTGGGGGGAGGAAGAGTTGAAAGGACAGACTTCAGTTTCAAATTCAGAGAGTTTACTATGTTAGTAGTATTTAACTATATCTATACCATATGTGCTCACCATATAAGCTAAGGGTGCATTTCTAGTTCTAGATTTAATATACATCCACACATAAACCAGACTCCAGATAATCTATCAGTCTCAACATATACAATAAATCAAAGGAATTCAGAAAAAAACTACTCCAGCCAGTTGTTTAAAATGTAACTGGTCTAGGTCTCTTCTGACTTAGACTGATGTAAATCAAGAGTAACTTCTGAAGCCCATGAATTATACCAATGTAAAACCAGCATAAGTGAGAAAAATAGATCTTGACAGCCAAACTCATTCTGACACAACTCACTCATCTCCAGTGAATTTCATTCATCCCTAGGGATTTGTTTGGGCCAATTTACCAATAAAGCTATCAACAGGTGGCAGTCTGGGTAAACAGATGGCACCTCACCCATTAAGACCTGCATACACAAAGCCAATTGCAGTGCACAAGTCATAGCTCATGCAGATTCAGTGGCTAAATGCTTGCTACCAAATAACAACTTCATTGAAATCACAGACCCATGAACAATACAACACAGCCTGTGCCCACCCAGCTATAGATGGTCTGTCCTGGAATAAACCCTATAGTAATATGGTACTATATCGTGCTACAGATTTACAAATTCTCTCTGTAAAGGCCATATCTAGGCATACTACATATGCATGTGTATAATAACAGACTGTCACAGGCTCAGGGATGGAACAAACTTTGGGGATGAGAAATTGCTGAATCTACTGAGCCTGCAGCTACTGGCAGTTTAAATCTCAGGGCTACTGACTGTGAGCTGCTGAACAAAATGCAGTGAGCAGGGTTCTCCAAAGTCTCCATAAGCAACAATAAAAGAATAGGATTTATTTAAAATGGTTAAAAGTTTCCTTTACACATTGCCACTTGTGCTGTTATCCTGGGAAACTGTGTGTGGCACACACAAATTGGGCTCTGGGATGACCTTTTGGGAAATCCCATGCTGTATGTGGTTGTCTGGTGGTTGACTGGTTACCGGAGGGAAATGTTTCCTTGAAATGTAGATTGCTGAGCTGTAGATTTCTCAGGCTGCTTTGTCTCAGGGCTACTGGAAGATACACTCAATTATGCTTTTTTATATGTATTTGTTGTATTGCGCCCTGGCTTTGCAACAGGACCTTCTTAGATAAGACTCCTGACACTTGTTTGAAGCCCCTTCTGTAAAATGGGTCCATGCAGGCAAACAGAGTCATGGGAATCTGGAATGATGACAGAAAATGCCGGGCTGGAACTAAGCTCGAGTGTCACCTGTCCCCTGCACCATCATGGAGTCCAGATCAGGTATACTGGGGCCACCCATCGGATATTTATCCAACCAGCCCTTAAAAGCTTCCAAGGAAAGAAATTTCATAATATTTCAGCGGTGCCTGCTCCAGTGCTTAAATAACCCCTCTCCTAGTAAAAACTTTTTCTTGATACTAAACCTAAATCTTCTTTGCTGCACATTAAGCTGATTTCCTCTTTTCCTTCCCCAGTGAATTTGGTGAGCAAGTCAGTCCCCTGAACTGTTTCATAAACCTCCAGGCCTTGAACAGAGGCACAAACCAAGTGCAGCTGCCTGTTCTACGCTCACACATACCTTCCAGTGACCTCTGAAGATCTGGTCCAGAACATAACTGGCTCCTATGAAAATGCACTTGGGGCAACTGGCAGGAGGCACAACATGGTGCTCTGTGAAGGTTGGCAGTGCTTTGGGAGACTACTGGGATGAAGACACAGCCCTTTATTCTCAATTTAAGGAATGAACTCTGCAGAATAGTCTTTATGTTCTCATCTGACATTTAACCCTTTGGGCTAGGGACAAAAGCTGCACATAAACCAGTTTAAGCAATCAGAAACTGGCTTAAACCTGTAACAGAACAGAAGGTCAGTGCACATAAACCAGTTTCAAAATGGCTGAAACCTGGCTGAATGTAGCATCAGACTCAACTGATTTGGGTCAAGCCAGTTTATGAGACTCCTGTCCCAGACCCCTTCCTGGTTCAAGTTAAATCACAGTCCTCCAGCATCCCAGAATGTTTTGCAGCCCTGGGGGGGTCTGTGCTGTGTGCTCCAGAGAGCAGGGCTGGCCCTGCCCCTCTGCTCCCTCATTGGAGCAGTGAGGGCTGGCTGACAAGTGGGTGGGGGAGGGATGGGAAGCCTTGCTGGGGATGCAGCCCAGTCTGCAGGGGGTGGTGGGACTGCACCCCCCACATGCAAACCCTGGGTGGGTTCTGATGCTTTCCCCTGCTCAAACTTACTGCTGGCTGCGACTGTGGACTACAAATCCCAGAGGCACCTGGAAGCAGGAAGAGGAAGTGATAAGCCACCCTGCAGAGTCCTGCTGATATGATTATGGGCTGCAAATCTCAGAGATCTCGGGGGCAGTAGGAAGAGAAAGTGATCACACAGCCCATGCTGGCTACATGCCAGAGAGCCATGCTCTAGCACCCCCAGCTTCTGAGCTGAGACACTTGCAGACATGTGGCTGCATTTCCTGAATCAAAGGTTAATGTTTGTGGACTTCTGTTTCAATTTAATCTCTGCAGTTTAGACTAACCTGCAAAGACTGAATCAATTCAGCCTTGGGCTTTCTGACTGTCAGTACTTAGCCTTAGTGCCTGCATATCAGGCCAGCAGCAAATATGGCCCACTGGCACGAGCGTACCTCTGTCTAGGTCACACTCAGCTCCCTGCAAGGCTCTTCAGGTCTCCTAACCACCTTCCCTTCAACATTTCAGATACAGCAGTCATTACTCCAGCCTGCCTCTCCTCCCTGCATGCAGAGCTGCCTCTCAGTTGCCCCATTCCTGAACATCCTTCCTGACACAGCCATTTTTTGCAAGCTGCATCCTTGTGCCTCCCTGCTTATCTCCATTTTCCCTTCCACAGCCTCCATGTCATGGCTCCCTCTCTTCCAGGATCCAGCATTTTTCTGCCCTACCCACACCCTCTATCTGTCCTCCCTCCACCTGCCACTGGCCTCCCTTTTCCCCTCAGGAGAGTATCCACCTTGGCCATTGCCTTAGCCACCCTGAAATGTCAGGGATGAAAAGGTGAAACCATCCAAGTGGATTCACCCTACATGCAGGCTCCCCTATATTGATAGCCTGGATGACAAATGCCTGCAGGCCCAGGTGCATCTGAGTAGTGGTGCATCGTTATCCCCTCGTAAGCCGTGCATAAATGCACGCTGACCCTGCACAAAATGATGCAAGTAGCTGCTTTGCTCCCTTCCCAGCAACTAAAGAGTTGAAGCCCACCGCCCGCTGCAGCAATTACTCACCTGAGCCCTGACCTCAGTGCATCGTCAGTGAATAAGGCAGCCCTCCCTCCTTCCCCCGGCATGCTTTTGAAACCACACCAAGCATGCCAAAAATGATGATTTCTGTGGTAACATGAAAGCCTCGGCTTTGCTTCCATATTTAATCACCTACTAAAAGCCCTTTGTTGTCTCATCTACTGTACTCTGCTGTCAGTATTTGTCCTTAATCATACAAGCAACAGGGAGATCTGGGCAACATCAAAGCCTTGTTTCCATGGGTCTCCTAAAGAGTCACTCTAGCTCAGTCTGAAAGGGTCCCAACCCCTGCCCTTCAATCCTCTCCCCTGTCCCTAAATACTTGTGACTTGTGCCAGCATTTTAAGAAGTCATACCCTGTGCAGGCTCAGTAGCTTGAGGCAGGAAGCATGTGCCAATCTACAGTTACTGGGCAGAGGGGGTATAAAGGCTGGCCTGGATATGAAAGCTCTGTGGAAAGAAAGAAAAAAACCCAAAACCAAAATAAAACAAAAAGTTACCCTCTCCCAGACTAGTTTTCTCAATTCAGATCCAATGGGAGAAAAAAGGGCAGTGGGTGGCTCCTTCAGGATGTCTGTGATTCAGAGCTGTCTGGGAGAGGTAACAGCCATTCCTTTGCTTTCAGATAGTAGAGACAGACTAGTCACCCCAGGCTCAGGAGCTTGTGCATGCCCCTTGCTAATGCTGCTACACTCCCAAGCATCGCCAACTTGCAGTTCAACGCAGAAGACTCACAATGTTCGCGACAAAGGATAATTCTCTGTCGCTCAGTTTTGCACCGCCCCATCACTGCCACTGGCTGTAGGGGTAAGGTTGCTCCTCCTAAACCAGGACAACCTCTGCAACCCCCTAGTGCACAACAGGAACCATGAGAGGAA